AGAATAGTGGTTGCAAGGGGCTGGGGAGGAGGTAGAAATGAGAAGTTGTTTAAGGGGTGCACAGTTTCAGTTTTGCAAGATCAAAGAGCTCTGGAGATGGTGGCATGATGGTTGCACAATGTGAATGTACTTAATGCCACTGCACTGTACAGTTTAAAATGGTTAAATGGTAAATTTTATGTTATGTGTCCTTTACCACAAACAGAAAACAAACAAACAAAGAAAACATTATGCTAGGTCAGAGGTAAACCTTTTTCTATAAAGCACCTGCTATGGTTTGAATGTCCCTGCCAAAATTCATGTTGAAGCTTCACTGCCATTGTAACAATATTAAGAGGTAGGGCCTTTAGAGAAGTAGGACATCATCAGGATAGCAGAATAGACAGTCCCCAGCATCACCCTCCCTGAAAACTGAGCAATTTACAACTATTAAAAAGCAAAGACTGTCAACCTGGGACCAGTGGGGCTCAGGACACCCACAGCGTTCATGAAGGTGGGAGAAGCCACAGCAAGACCGAGAAGGGACTGTGCTGACCATTTTGAGCCCCAGACACTTCAGGGCTGGCCCCTGTGAGAGGCAGGAAGAAGCTGCAGCATATGGAGCAGGAGACAGCAAAAACCACAGCTGGGCCTTTCGTGTGAAGTGCCTGGAATCTGCAGTGGAGAAGAGGGCCTTGGAGTGCACCATAAAAGCCCCTATGCCAGTGAGACCACTGACAGGGTTCCTGTGGACCCACATAGTAGTGAGGGGCTTCAGCAGACCAAAGACAGGAGCCACCCGGAGGCTGGTAAGTCATCACTAGGGACCAATGCATACCCTGCCCCACAGAGTGTGAGGGGAGGCTGGCCTGAAAGGGGAAAATTGGGGCACAGCGTGGGCAGCTGATCTGCCTTCTGATAGGTACAAGCCCGCTTGGTGGAAACTGGTCAAGGCCATAGAACTGCAGGGGCTGCAGTTTGCTGGAAAGACCTAGTCCCGGGCCATAATTTCCACACAATCTGGGTGTATCAGACCTCACAAGACATGGAAGTGATTAAAAGGCCAACAATTACAATCCAGTCTGCATAAAAAGCCTTCCCTAGAGAATCAGCAGCAAACAGCCATTTTGCTCAACCACAAAGCTGAAGTTTTGGTCCCCACAGGAAGTTCCCTTTGGAATTAACCAAAGCACAACAAATGAGTTCCAGGGCAGAGTTTAAGTGGTGGTGGTAGTTAATAATCTAAAACAGAACTGAAAAAAACACAAAACAACAAACCAGAGACAAAGCTCTTATATTGACCAGTAAAGGTCTAACACTGCCAAAGAACACCTATAAAACCTGGAAGAGGTAGCGGTTTCTTCAATGCCCAGGCATTAATGTAAAGACACAAAGATTGAGAAAGAACAGAGAAATA